ACCGTAATAGTCTCTATTGGTTCGACAAAGGTAATTTCATTCTCATGGGTCACTTCAGTGTTAGTTGATGTAACATGTACGTCTGATTGATTTATAGCTGCAGTAGTTCCTGTTGGCATTGCCGTGTGATTAGATTTGTTTGTGATTTCATCTGTAGTTTGATTATACACTTTTAAATATAAAAAGAAAAGCAATATTAATTAATCTATGATTGGTTTAGTTGATCTACACAAGCATTCATACAAGACTATTTGTATTTCTTAGAACATCTAATAGAGTAATATTTAATATAAGAAAACTTACAAGAACTATTTTCATCAATGATATCATCAGATATGTCGAATTGTGTTTGCCCTGGCTCTGAATTGTTTATTTCATGAGAATTTTTCATCAAATTAAGTCCATTCACAGCAATGTCTGAATAAGCAATGAAAGGACGATTTAGAATCATTTGATTATCTGGATTATAAGTGAACGTGATTAATTGTTGATTATTTAACGAATGAAAAAGTTTTTGTACACGTAAATATTCTGAACGAGCGTTCGCTACTTGTACTCCATCACTTTCGTCTTTCTGCAATTCATCTACCAATACACAGCCAACATTTACTTCTAATTGATTTGCTAGATATGCTTTCAATTCATCTTGTTTTCCTTCTACTTTTTTATTAAATGTATTGAGTGTCACAAGAAGTTCGTTATATGCTTGATCAATCTGTTCATGCATTGTTGCTGCCCATTTATTAAGAAATTCTACGTACGAATTTGTGTTATCAACAATATTTAATTTTTGAATATTATTAAATAGGTCCTATATAAGAAAAAAAATTATTTATTTTATATTGTTTAAAATGAACTTTACTTGTGCTTTTGACAGTAGAGCACGCACTTTTTCTTTCAAATCTTCTTGATGTTGTACTGCATGTTTAAGACAAAATGACAAGGAACAATGAGGACATTTGTACGTTGCTTGACTCGTACAACAACATGCAAATGGTGATGAAGTATAATAATTACAAGTGTTTGAGTTTTTAGTGTCGTTTGTTTTACTAGAGTTTGTCATAAATGTACCAGAGGGTTTGTCTTAAATACATAGAATAAAGTTATTGTTTAGTTAATAAAAAATATTATCTATTATGTGTTTACCTGATGGCGTAACAGTGATAAATGATGTACTAGAATTCGTTTTATCAATTGATGAAGCGGTACTGCTTATTGAATCTGAGGTTTTCATTCTTTTCGCAGATAATGTATCATTATAGGGAAATTGGGGTGTTTTTGCTCTATCAGGTGACGAAATATCATTCGATAAAGTTTCTGATATTTTCACTTTTTGTGTAGATGAATTACTGCTGGCTGTAGATGTTATTCTTTTTGTTCTACTCATAGAAGGAAAATCACTTTCCGAAGATGATAATATTTTTGTCTTATCTGTAGTCGATATATTATCGTGTGAAGTCAGTAATATTTCTTGATTTGAACCGAATATTGCATTTGTTTTTTTTGATAATTCTTGTTTTTCAGTTTCTACAACAATATAATAGGATAGAAATATTTTATTCATATTTTAATAACTTACGATGATTATGTATTGCTTTTTGATTAAGAGCTTCTTTTTCTTTAAAATTAGAGTCATCTTTCTTACTTAATTTAACATCATCTACTGGTATATAACTAGATGCTAGTTGTTGATTGACTTGTTGAAAATGTTGAAAACATAAATCATCCATTTCAACTTCTTCATCACAATTATGAACAGTACATATTCGTTTCTGTTTCAATTGAGAAGAGTTTACCGCTTTAGTAAAGTGGCCCGTATTCATAGAATCTTCACTTTGAGATTTTTTTCTTTTTGTTTCCATGTTCAAAAAGTATATTGATCTAAAATAAGACGTTTTCTATCTATACCTATTGAAAGGTTTAATCTAATAAAAAAAAAATTCAATTTTTTGTAAATACGATTATGATATTTACCAATTTCTTAAGTTTCTAATTTTCTATTCATAGTAACGATTGATATAGATGAAAAAGAAATTTGCGAGACCCACTTTTTCTTAATCCAAGCATGTGTTGCATTAAAAAAATATACAATGACAATCGATACATTAAAATGCAAACCACAGCTAATGTATATTATGTATCGAAGGAAATATGCGAACATCTAGTAGCGAAGAAGCCTACAACTCTAATGCTTCTTGCTCTTATGCATTTTACTATTGCATTATTTATTCAAACTTTTAAATACTGATATTCTAAGTCTATAGGATGAATCTGTCGAATAAATCTGTTTGATTTCAAAACAAATGAAATCGAGAAGTAAGGATGACTGATAAACATAACAAAAAGTTATTTTTCATCATCTCTAGTAAGGATAGACGAAGTACTTAAAATAGACTACAAATTTTTTATTATTTTACAAATAATTTTATACTAATATATTATATTGTAATGTATTTCTCTGATAAAAGGGGCACAGTGAATATTCTAAAAGAACTACCAAGTAGTATTTTTATATCATCATACAATCATCAATTTCGTATGATGTTAATAACCAGAGACCTCTACTCTTGAATTAGTTGTTTAAAAAAAAACATTTCTGTTAATTTTTTATTCTAGCTATATACTTCATAATATTTTTCTTTCTTTCCTTTGTCTACTTGTCTATAACCAATATCTATTCAACATACTTTGATTTAGAAAAAAAAGTATTTAGGTTCTATTGTATATTATTCAGTTAACGTCAAATAAGATTTCTAATTAATGTATATAACAAAAGCTGACTAATATCAAGGATTCGAATTATCAGAAGATCTTATAATTTATTTTGATAAAATATATACCTTATTGTTCATATAATATTGGTTAAAAAAAGAATATTACATGTGACAATATATATATAAAATCACGTTTTGATAATAATGATATCCTCGATGTCTTAATGCTTGAATGATTTCTATACAATAATCAATGGTATTTGCTTTGATTACCTGTTGTCTAGTGTTTTCGTTTTGTTATTATCTATCATTACAATATAAATATATAAACAGAAAAAAAAGAAAGAAAGCAACGAATCAAAACTTCCTATATTTGTTTCGATTTATCAAGATCAGTCTCGATTAAAAATGAGTAAAGCCTAAAGATGATCTATGTTATACATCATTTTTCATTGTAATATTAAATGTAGTTCTTATAAAATAAGTGTACTCATGTTTCACTTTGTACAATTGAAAAAAAAATAATGAAATAAAATTACAATTTTGTTTATTTATTGAAATAAAAAGAAACTGAACAATAAATGAATTAAAATCTGTATTTAATTTCAAAACTTAGTTTCTCTGTGATCAGCAAATATAATATATTATTTTTGTATTTTATTCTAAAAATTGTCTACAATATGGCGGTGCATTTGTTATAAAATGCGCGTCGTAGACGCATTTGTTGTTAATACAATATGCAATCATTCAAGTGTAACATACGCTATCAAGTTCAAGGATTATCAATCGTTAAAGATTTTATGATACGCCTCATCGATATTATCTAATCGTTAGAATAATGGGTTTAAAATATATAAAATACAATTTCTTCATCATTAAAAAACCTCCTAAGATGTTTAATAAATTTAAACTTTTTTCTATTACTTATAACTAAATCTCGAAGAAGTTTATGCTTAAAGATTCTCTCATCAACTTCATAAATTGTAATCAAATATAACGACATTTTATTTTACTGATTATGAAATATTATCTAAATTTGAAATTCAAATGTCCGAATCTCTAGTTACTATTGACATAAACTTGTAATTTTATCGTGAATCATTTGATCTCAAAAATAAATATTAGATTTTATTCCATTTTAACCACATATACATGCAATGTATTAATAAATATATTTTACTGACGTAGATTAATCATTTATTCTAAAACCAATATTTTTTTTCAAATAATCCTTTGTTAATATTTTCAATTCGTAACAAATTCTTTATTTTTAGGAGTTTTATTTTTAATCTATTAAACAAAAGTAGTAGCAATAGCAGCAATTTTAGCTAAATCACCACGTGTCCGAAAAAATGCGGGTATAGGTGCGAGTATTCGTGTACCAATTGGATTACCATCATCATCAATTAATACAACATTGTTCTTATCAAATTGTGGTACATTTGGTTTTCGTACAGTTTGTTTGCAACCAACAATAATTGCTTTTTTCATTTGTCCTTTAATTGCTAATAAAACTTTGTCGCCAAGACCAGCTGTTAATCGCGTACGAGTTAAACTATTATTTTTTTTATAACAATGTATAATACGTGGCATACGTTTATAAACATTTCCATCCAATGCTAATTTACTATTATCAACAACATTAACACGACTAACTTTTTGTAGATTATTTAATGGACTTGTAATACTATAAAAAAGAATATTTAGAATAATAAAAAAAACTGATTTGTTTTTTTATTTTTTTGTTAATATCATATTTCAACATTACCTAAACGAACGATGTAATACGAAATCAAGAGTTGTTGGAAGAAGTTTGATTAAACTATTCATATCTAAAAATAGATTATTCATGTTTTACACATATGTATATATATATATAGATTAAGATAAAAAGAAAAAAGCCTGTATAGATTTTTATTTCCGGACGAGAAAGATAATAACAATAAGAAGACACAGGTGAGAGTAATACATGATTTAGAAGAACAAGATGTGTGTATATTACTTTTTGACCTTAAAAAATACGTTATTTTAACACATACATAATATTAATCAGTTAGAATGTAGACAAATGTTTTATTATTCATTTCAACATATCAATATCCAATAAATATGAATTAATAAGATTAAATTTCTATCAAACTTAAGAAATAGAGAAGTTGTATAAATGTGTTTACTCTGGAATTTATGCTGTTTTTCTTTTAGTCGGCTGTTTGATGATATATATATTTCGTTATTTTATTCTTTATCATTCTTATTAAAGTTTTTCATAGCTTATCAAAGAATAAAATGCAACGATTTTTTCCTTCGAAAAGTATTCGAAGTTCAAATGAAAGTCTCGATATGGGAATAAATCATCGTAAACGTTCCCAATCTCGTAATAAATCTTTATCATCACATATTGTATCGACTTCAAGAATTGATTCTCAAGAAAAAAAAACGAATGCACGTATTGTACGAGTTCGTTTAGTTTTTATTCGTATTGGTAAGAATAATCTAATTTTAATATTTTATATAAAAGATTAAAATTTTAGGTGAAATTGATACACTTAATGAAAAATATCAAGCAGATGTTTATGTTGAAGGAAAATGGACAGAAGCTATTCGTATATCAAACTTAAATTCTCAACAACAAAACGATTTATTAAATGAAAATAAGGCAATACGAATAGAAAAAGAACTTGGTCCAATAACTGATTGGAGATCACAGTTATATATTGAAAATGCAATTGGACAAATTGGTGAACAAGATGTATGGTTTACAATAACAAAAAAAATAGTAGATAAACATGAAACAATACCATCATCATTCGTTAAAGTTAATATATGTGAACATCGACGACTTAAAGGTGTTTTTTGGGAAAAATTAGAACTAAATCATGTATTTATTAATTAAAGATTTTGAAAATTTATTAGAATTATTCTTTATTGCTGTTATAGTTTCCTGCGGATGTTCAAGATTTAACAATTTCAGTAACAACTCATCATTATCTTGAAAATTGTATACTTGTTGAAGATGAACATTTACGCTCGAGTATAAATCGTGAAGCTTTTGTTGATCAACAAGAATGGAAATTATATGAACATGTTGCAACTGAATCAAAACAAACAAAAGAAGAATATTCATTTCAAGATGATAATAGTGGAATAGAACAAAAGAAACATCCTATACTAGCTGTTACTTGTCGCGCAGGTTTGTATTTTCTTTAGATTGGGCAAAAATTGGTGATGTCAGGGTAACGCCTAGTCTATCTTTGGTTACGCCACTAATTTTCTATTCTAAACAACAATAAAAATTTTCTGTTTCATATAGCTCGTCGACCTGGTTATTATTATTGGAATGGTTTTTGTCTTATTTTTCTTATTACTATTTCTGCATTTTGTATTTTTTCAATTCCACCAGAGTAAGTATTTCTTTAAAAAACAAAACAAATCAATATTTCTGTATATTTCTTTTTCAGTTTACCACAAAATCGTCTTCAAATAACATGCACACTTCTTCTTACTTCAGTTACATTTCGTTGGGTAGTCAATCGGTCATTGGTAAAAAAAAAAGTTTTATCTAAAATAAAATTCATAATTTTACTTATTTTTTTTTTTATATTAAATAGCCAACTATATCATATTTAACAACACTCGATAAATATGCAATCATATCGATTATAATGTTAGTTCTACTCTGTGTATGGCATTCTATAATTGCATCAGTCATATTTCTTAATCCAGATATAGCAGTATTAAAAGGAATAGCACCAACGAATGTCTATGCTAATGTTGATCGATATATATGTATTAGTACATTTATATGTTATATTATTATTCATATAATACTTATGATTTGGCTTATATGTGTTCCATATAAACGAAGACGAGAAATGGAATATCTCGATCGTGAATATGCTGCTAACAAACATATTTATATAGATTCAACTGTAAAACGATTGAATTCTGTTCAACCTCAATCACAAGATCTTGTATTTCGTCGTACATCATCAATTCGTGGAAATTTACCCTTAGTAAAATCTCCTGATCGACCAAAAAAACCTGCAGATGGTGTTACAATGATTCCGCATGCTTCAGTATTTCTTCCTATAAAAGAAGAAACAAATGAACCAGCAACAAAACATCATACTCCAATCGAACTTCAAGAACAAGACGATGTATTTTATGATCATACAAATGATATTAATGATGAACTAAGAAAGACTTATCCTCAACCTATGAAAAATCTTTGACTTATTCTTAAATAATTCATTTTGTTTACGAAAATAAAAAAAAGAACGAGAAAAAAATGTTAGTGATCATCGTCTATTTCATAAAGAATGCAAGAAAAAAAAATATGGAAAAACAAATGAAAGAAGGATACGGGAGTTTTTCTATGAAACTAAAGACGATAAAATAGGTATATGAGAAAGAAATGTTCTAATGATGTTTGCTACTTGAAGCAGGTTTTGCTGGATGTGCTTGTAAGCTTTTTGTTTCTTCTTCAAGTTGTTTCATACGTGCTTTATTTGGATCAACACCAGCAGCGATAGCTAAATCAACCATGGATTGATCAGCTTTGATTTTTTTCTCAGCAAGTGAATCAATAGTTTCTTGTGTAACGCGATCGATTTCACCTTGTCGTACATGTTCTTCACGTTTTTTTAATGTATTATGATGCATACGTCCATAAACAAGACCAGCTAATAATAAACTCCAACGACCAGCACGAATTAATGGTGATACATTCTTTGGTACCGAAGCTGCCATTGCTTTGCTATTTTTTTATTCGTGAGCTTAATCGATCTGAAATAAAGAAAAAAACGAAATATACAATCAACATTCCATTTTTTGATAATCAATAAAAAGAAAAACAAAATATATAGTCGTTGTTTTTTATGCATCAGATGCAATAATACATCGATTAACAACAGCACGAAGATGATTATTTTCAAGTGCAGCTGTAACACGTTCTTTATCATTTAGTTGTTTATTGATTTGATTCTCTTGAATATGAGCACCTTCAATAATATTAACACCGACTTTATATCGACTAGGAAGTGTATAGAGTAATTTGGCACGAATACTTAAACCAATTAATGTTGCCCTAAAATTTAAAAGAAATTTTATTTAAAAAAATTCTAAAAGTTTATCCAAAATAAATGTTCCTTGGTCGTCATAATGAATTGGGTTTGTAATTCATTATCTCAATAAAAAAACCATTATTTTTGGCCAGACCTTCTACCATGTTCTAATGATTATTAGGCTTATCGTTGTTGGTAATTATTTAAAATTTAATTGATAAGTGACTAAAATAATCATAACTTAACTCAGACGACAGGTGTCATTTATGGTGATTTGCTCACAACCGATAGAATTCTTTGAGCTAATGTTTCACGAGATAACTAATATTTTTCTAGCTTTAAAGCTGAATATCGAAGTTTTTTCAATATCTTTGTTGGCTTTATCTATATAAGAACGTATATGTTATTGTAAATAGCTTACATAGAACAATGTGGAATAGTAGGCCGAAATTGTACTCGTACTGTATTAGCTTGATTATCAATTGTAACACCATCCAAATCAACAACATTAAGTTCTAAAATGAAAAATAATAAAGTTATACTTATAAAACAATATTTTTCGTGCAGACCTTCTAATGTAAGTGGATGTTCAGGATCATTTATTGTTCGAATTAAATCGAATATTTCCCGACGATCAATTTCATCTGATGCATCATTATCATAATCTGATGCTTGTACTGTTCGTTCTTCAGTACGTTCATAAATTGTTGGATTTAAATTTTGAGGTCCTGATGAGAGATCCATCGTTTTTCTTTGCTATTCTGTTTTGTTTTTTTCTTCAATAAATAATAGTATCCATCTAAACATAAACAAAATATCATTGGTCAATTATATAAACCAATTATAACACCATAAAAATTGCGCCTTATAATTTCCTTCTGGATATATTATGAAATGACATCTGCATATATAAAACAAACTCGGATTGCTGAAGAAAGAATGAATTTCTATAGAAATATATATAAACCTTATGAGTAGTTTAAGTAGTTTAATTTAGATTTCTAGCTTTACTTCGTATTGATATTAATTAGAACAGATATTATTATAAGTATTTATTATACATTAGAGTTAGATATAAAGAATAATAACACAACGATATTTCATCCACGTTGAATAATGTTATAATTTCAAGTCTGATTGACTTTTGTTATATTATATAAATAAAAAATTCAAATTTGTAAATCTATGAGTCTTTGCGTCATCTTTCTTCTGTTACTATTTAAATCTTCATCCATTCATATTACATTTTCATTTAGTTCCAAATTTTATTGGTTAAGTTTTAACGAATGATATAAGTCAATCAAGTTCTACTGAATTGTGATCGGCGATGAACGTTTCTATTTCTATATTTTACTTTTATTCGAATTTTATGTTTTATAAAAATCCAATCATATTCAAGATTAGTCAAAACAATTGAGAATCATTTAAATAAAATGAAATGCTTCAAGAAACCTGTTTATTGTGACTCTTTTTCAAGTTATTACTTTAGAAAATTATTCATATTCACATGAATAGCTCACTGAATTTTAATAAAAACACGTAGTTAATGAGTGTATGTATATTCTAGATGAAACTAAACGAAACAAAATCAGACTCGACAGATGAATTACTAAAATCTGTTAAAAAGAATGGAACAATCGAGAAAAAACAAAATAAGAAAAAGAAAAACAATTTCGAAGTTCGTGTTCCTCGAATCATTGTACGCAATCTTAATTTCAAAGTAAGTTAAATTTCTTAACAGCAGTAAATATAAATTCTCATCATATATCTATTATCAGGTCAACGAAACTCAACTAAAAAAAGCTTTTGAAAAATGTAGTACTTCAATTAGCAACGTGTCGATTGTTGCAAGAGGTTAGTTAATTATTTTCTTTTTTCTTTCTAAAAAACAAAGAATTATTTTATCTAGATGGAGTATCGAAAGGATTTGGTTTTGTAACATTTGATAAACTTGAAGATGCACAAAAAGCAGTACAAGAAATGAATGGACAAAAAGTATTAGGTAAGTCAAATTATGATATGAATTTAAACTATGAATTTTATTTATTAAGGTCGACCAATGGCTGTAGATTGGTCCTTACCAAAAAATGTATATCAAAAAATGCAAACAAAAGGTTTGTAAGAGATTTATCTTTTAAATATTGAATTTAGAAAATAGATATGCATCAAAGTCGAATGTGTCAATCAGTTGATGAGAAAAATATTAGATGAATTGAAAGCATGAACAAATTCTGTTAGATATAATAGTTATTTCTTGTTTCACATCTACGTTTATCAGCAATTATTTTAATGATCTTTATATTTTAGCATCATCAGCACCTGTTCGCAATAATAGCTATGGTATTCAATCAGAACCTAATCCGCCGGAAATCGAAGAAGAACCAGAGGATGAACATCAGGACGACGATGATGAAGAAGATGATGACGACGATGACGAAGAAGATTTGAATGATGATGAAGAGGAAGAAGAAGAAGAACCAAGTAAGTTATTATTCTTAACTACAATATTATCTTAACATAGTTTTATTTAGAGATAAGAACAGATGAAAGTAGTCGTGATGTACGTGAACATCGTACATTATTTGTTCGTAATATACCATATGATACTACTGAAGATGAATTATCAAAGATCTTATCATCCAATGGACAATATCGTATACAATCTTGTCGTTTAGTTATTGATCGAATATCTCGACATCCACGTGGTAGTGCATTTGTTCAATTTGCTTCATCAGAAGATGCTGAAAAATGTGTAAATTTACCATTTACAATTCAGGGACAACAATTACAATTAGATATGGCATTAGGTCGTGGTGAACTTGTTAAAGCAAAAGAATTACGTGATAAAAAAAATGAAAATAATAAAAAAAATGATCAACGTAATTTATCACTTGCTAATTATGGTGTTATACTTAATTTAGATGAATTAGATGGAAATGAAAATGATTTACGAAAAAGACAAAATCTTGAAGATGTTAAAAAACAAAAACTTAAAGATCCATTATTTTTTATTTCACCAACACGCTTAACCATACATAATTTACCGCCAAATATTGATGATGAACAATTAAGAAAACTCATTGTTGAAACATTAAAAAAAGATAAAATACCAATGAAAGATATTATTCTTAATGAATGTCGAGTAATGAAAAAAAATAAAGATTCAAAAAAAGCTCTCGGTTAGTATTTATTTTTTTTTAACATTAATACATAGAGTTTATTAGAAATGAATCATTATGTTATAGTTTTATGCCAGGGTTAATTATGATTTCTATTCAAATTTTAATATGTATACGTTTTCTATTGACAAGAGTAAAATGTAATATAATATTTTCTTTCTCATTAATTGCCATTAGTTTAGTCTTTACTTAACGTAACTGAAGTCACAGAGTGGAACGAAGAAATAACATAAAAATATCGCGACGACGTCAAATATAAAAACGTGACAGTATGATTCTGTTTTTTTATATATTTACTCATTTTATTCTCTTGTCAAGTTAGTATTATTTTGGCCACGTTTTTTCTTATACTTTCGATTGTAGCGGAATATTATGATAAGTAGTTTCCTTTCATCGCTACTGAATTAATGAAATCTTTTGAAATCATTATTACTTATCTAAGAATAAACGTATTATCAACCAAAATTCTCTAAATGTATTTTGATTTTAACAAATTCTGATAGATAGATTATTTTTTGTTTGGATTCATTAGATAACCTTGAATTATGAACGAAACTCCTTCGTTAGTAGTTTTTCATGTTATCAACAAAAATTCTTCGATGATATTATTTCAAGTTTATCCTTTTTGATGACATAATACTTTATCTAAATATGGTGTGATATTCTTTCGATGATTTTTTTTCCAGTTATCTATACATCGCGCGATTTTACAGGTACATTGTTCGATACAATATATATATCTTTTCATTTTTGTTCTTTCCTTTCATTTACCTTTGAAATATATAAACGAACTAAGTATACAATTCGTTATAAGAATTTTCTATGATTTTATTTTTTTTATTTATAGGTTTTGGTTTTATTAATTTATCACGTCATGAAATAGCATTACGACTTATTGAATTACTTAATAATAATAAGTATGTATTTGGTTCTAATCGACGACCAATTGTTCAATTTTCAATAGAAAATCGTCGTGCATTACAATTACAAGAACAACGACGTGAACGTATACATGCTAAACAAGAATTAATAAAAAATCCAGCAAATAGAACTTTATCATTTGAAAGTAATACGAAGAAAAAACAAAATCGAACGAATGTATTAGAACAAACAAATAATAAAGTTCGTTTGAGTGAAGTTATTAAACAACAAATAAAACAAGAAGCAGAAGAAAACGAAGCAAATAATCTTCAAGATGATAATGAACAATTTATGGATGTCGATAATAAAAAAACATCTAATAATAACAAGAATAATGAAAAAACGAAGAAAAAAAGATTAAAAACAAAATCCAAAGGTGAAATACGAGATAAAGTTGATCGTATGATCGCCAATTCTAGAAATAAACCACAACTACCAAAAAAGACAAAGAAGAAATGGTTTGAATAATTTGATGCAAATTAGATAATATACCTTTGTGTCTGTTTTTTGTTTTTGTTTTGTATTCTATTAAAAATACAGAACAACAAGACTAAATCATATCTTTTATTTTTAACATTTCATAGGTTTTAAATCTAATTATTCTTGAAACATATTTTCAAGTAAGTTTAGCTCTTTCATCAACAACAACAAAAAAAGAATAAGACTACATAGATTGTATTTATAATATTTAATATTTTATTCTAGATAAAATCATGTTAAAATCTATTGTACAACGTCCACTTAACATGGTAGCATCAACTTGTCGTACAGTATCAAATAATTCCCAAGTACAAGATATACTTGATAAATATGATCCTCAACAGGTAACATTACTTTATGAACCATTAATGATTGTTGATTCTAAAGATAATATAATTGGTCAAGTAACAAAAAAAGATGCACATCTTTTATCCAATATTGAAGGTGAAAAATCATTAGTTCATCGAGCATTTTCATTTTTTTTATTTGATAATTCAACATCACCATCACGTCTTATATTACAACAACGATCATCAGAAAAAATTACATATCCATCATTATGGGCTAATACATGTTGTAGTCATCCATTATATAATGATATTGAAACAAATGGTATTGATGGTGTTAAACATGCAGTTATTCGTCGTGTTAAATATGAACTTGGTTATGAATCTGATGTTGATTTAATTTATTTACAAAGAATTTTTTATCAAGCAAGAAACATTCCGGATGATAATGTATTTGGTGAAAGTGAAATTGATTATATTGTTGTTGCAAAACATAAACAAAATAATAACATTGATTTCTCAACAGATTTTAAATTAAATATAAATGAGGTTAAAGAAATAAGATCAGTTTCATTAAAAGATTGTGAAGAACTTGTTGAACAAGGTGTAACAACACCATGGTTTTCAAAAATTGTTCGAGAAGGTTTATTAGCAAAATGGTGGTCAATTTTAGATAAAAACCAATTCGATAAAAACACTCAACATTCAGACGAAATTATTAATTTGTGATTTTTATATTTATTTTTCTTTATATGTGTATGTGTGTGTGTGAAATGCTTAAAAGATTGAAAAGATCTGTGAATTGATTAAATAAAAGCAAAATTTTTTATATGACATTACTGAGATATTTCTAGTGTAAAGAAAGATTATTGTGTTTAAAATCTTTATTACAGGGTATGGGTGTAAAATTAAAATAACACCCATACCCTCAAAAAGAAAAAAAAATAGAAGGGACAGGCAAAAAAAGTAGGGACAGACAAACAAAAAGAGGGATAGACAAAGCTAAGACAACATAAATTATCGGCGTCGCCGTTGTAGTCGCCGTGTCGGCCCTAACCGTGCCCGGAGGGGTTGACAACTGGCATGATACCACTAAAAGAGGAAAATAATGAATAGATTGTTCTACAAAAATATACTATAATACTTAAATTGTACCCCCTACTTATCACCATAATCCAGACAGAATACTGGCCCGCTACCAGGTTTTGGCCACACCTGCTACAAAGCAAGCTGGATGACGGGACACGCTCTACTGTTCTCTAAAAGATATAAAATATATAAATATTAACTTTTGTTCTCTATTGTTATTGACTTACTTTTCTTTCGTCGTAAATTGAACGAGGCATCTGCTAAAATATAATTTACAAAAAGATATTTTTTAATTTAAAACTTACTAGCTAGGTCGAGCGTTACGGAATCCGTAAACTATGGTTTACCATTGTATATGGTCGTTTACGGTCGTATTATTGTGCTGTACGGTAAGGATATTACTCTTTTAACCGTACGTTCGATCCTCTTCTACTTTCAAAGTGACATACAAATATTTTCCATTACATCTTCTAAAATAATAAAACTAAGTAAACTACTTCAAAAATCGATTAAAAAGTTTATTTACTTACTGTTTACTAACTATACCCACTTAGATTTTCTGAAATAAATAGAATAAAATTAGATTACATTAAGCACTTACTATTCGATAAATATATTACTTTAGATCATCTAAAATAAAATAAAAAAATTTAATATTATAATAATATCGAACAATCATATTGAAAATATGAATACTAAAAAATATAATACATCAACTCAAATCTTAGTTTATTACGATTCCTCAGATTGAGCATATAGTTGCCGTCTACAACCATATAGGGCATGGCCGTAGATAAACAGAGAACACCCACACCACATTCATAAAAAAAAGTAATGATCAGGTAATTTCTCACTATTTAATACAATTCTCAATTATCAGCTCTATATTATCATTACATAATTATCCGTCACATGAAAAATAATATAGAATTGTTTTCACTTTTATTATAAAGCATAATCATCAAATATAAATTTATTCACTAATCTTATTTTATCGGCAAGCAATAAAATAAAATAGTTAATAGACGCTTTTCTTTTTCACGAATAAAAATAGATGAATGAGTTTTAATCTTTCTCTCTTTTTGTCTCAATATTTCAGTAGAAGTAAGTGACTTTTTACATATTTATTTTTAATATTATTCAACAACACTCATAGAATTTATTTTAACAGAACATATGAGTCATATATTTATATTTCTTTATCGGTAGAGGCTGCCTTCCTACAATGAACAAGCAAAAGAGCAATGTTATATGTTGTCTGTATTCTCAATTTGAAATACTGCTGATCTTCTTACAAAAAATTTTAACAAATAATATCGATCAGGTGTGGATGAGACAGTTAGATGGATATACATTTACTACGAAATTTCTTTAAAATAACTCTTTAATTATACAGAGTATTAACAACACATAAAATTATTTCATTTTTTTCGCATCAAATATTTTTGATTTATTTACAAAAATTGAAATGAACACGTGAAGATTTCGATGCCATTCTCTATCGAATTGTCTTTTTATTTATAAGAAATATACAGAATCTTCACTAATTTCATTATCTGATAGAGTTAAATAAATATTTCAAAATAGAGAGATGCATTTTTATTTTTCTTCTTGAGGGTGCGGGTGTAGATAAAGAGAGAAGAACCACATCCATCTCTATATACATCCACCCTTCTTCAGTGAAAATATCCACTTAGTTGTACAAAGAATGATCTATCTTTTATTAATTATGGCTCTTTTCCAATAACCATCATACAATATAACTTCGAGATATTACTGCGACTAACATATTATTTGGTGAATGATAATTTATTAAGAAATGTGCAAGATTAAATAGTTTGATTACATATAAAAAAAATTTATAATTCAATTCAAAAAATAAAACGCCATTGTGTCTATATCGATTAATAAAGTTCAGCACTATTGAGAAAACCACTGCCGCCGTATCCACCAGCAACTAATACTGATTCATTTGCTAATGTGGATGCTGTGTGAGATACTCGTGCAACACTCATATCTCCTATGGTTGTCCAGGTGCCTGTTAATGGGTTATACATTTCAGCACTATTGAAATAACCACTGTAGCCGAATCCACCAGTAACTAATATTGATCCATTGGCTAATGTGGATGCTGTGTGAGAAGATTGTGCAACACTCATATCTCCTGTAGTTGTCCAAGTGCTTGTTAATGGATCGTACAACTCAGCACTATAGAGAAAACCACCGTTGTTCTCTCCACCAGTAACTAATACGGACCCATTTGCTAATGTGGATGCTGTGTGATGATACCGTGCGACATTCATGCTTCCTGTGATTGTCCAAGTGCCTGTTGATGGATCATACAATTCAGCATCACTGCAAGCATCACCGTAGCATCCACCAGTAACTAATACGGACCCATCTGCTAATGTGGATGCCGTGTGAAGAAATCGTGCGACATTCATGCTTCCTGTGAGTGTCCAAGTGTCTGTTGATGGATCGTACAATTCAGCACTATTGAGATAACCACCGTTGTTCTTTCCACCAGTAACTAATAC